CATGTCAATGCAAGCACCCTGCTTTTGACGAAACAGTAACACAAGGTTATTAGCTACAGATAGATGTTATGAGATTACAAGTAAGGAGGCATAAATGTCAGAATTGATTACCAAGAAATGAAAAGTAAAACATAACCAATAACCAACTTAACAAGCTACGTGATTTCAAAGCACAACCCTCTCTCACCACATTTTAGCAGTCTTACGGTCTGAATTCCTTTCTGCCAGGATCGCTCTCCAGTCCAATGATGCTTCCTTTGTCCTTCAAATGTTGCGGATGCTGTGAGTAAAGATGGAGAACTCTTTCAGGGGGATCTGTTCCCCTTTCTTATAGACTTCCCTTCACTAAAAATCACCACCAGCTGAGATCCAGGAGACAGAAGGTCCAGGGAGACAGGACCCTCCAGCCATTTCTTTGCCAAAAATGTAGAATTCTTGTGCACATCCTTTTTATTGCTGAAGAAAAGCATCTTAACTAGATGATAATCCATTTGATTTTCTTGGCACCTGGCCCTGACATCAGTTTGCCTTTTGTCTTTGAAGAAATGCTTTGTGCCTGCTATTCTAAACTTGGAACATGTCTCAGTAATTTATACAGTAGAATCTTATAACTTTATATACAATGTTGCCATGCATATTTTACTATGACAATAATGATCAGCAAATTATGAGTTTTCAAATTATACCTCACAAGACATACTTTGTACAAAATTTATCATAATCTTTTAAAAGGAGTGAACGTAAGAGTTCAGACTGTCACACAAGGATCAAGAGTTACTTACCAAAAGCCAGGCTAAGTCAGGTTACCAGTAGGTCAAGCACAGGCAATGGAACCAGAGGGCAGGAAGCAGTTACCAGTCCAAGTGAGGATGCCAGGAGATCAGGATTAGGAGAAGGAACTGGTAAATACCTGACCAGTGGTCCATGGCAGGGTGAAGTCCAGTTGTACCATCAACTTCCTGTTTCCTCATTTGGCTTAAGTAGGAGCTATGACCCAATCAGGAGTCTTGGAGCACTCCCAAACAGGAGACAGAGATAGGACTTGTGCCCCCACCTTGGTTTCATAGACCTCAGTCCCAGCTGGTGTCTGTGAGCTACTGGGTGAAAGATAGGCGTGAAAGGACTATAACGGACCTGAATTCAAGATCCATGGGGCCTAAAAGTGTGCTGATAACTGTGTGATTAAGTCTGATATCTTCCAAAGGGAGTCCAAGGGAATCAGGCACCTGATGCCAATAGGATGTTTGCAAATCCCAGCCTACAGGACCTAGGTTCTACACAGCCCATCCCCAGTCCTCCGACCCTTGGGGCCAGAGAAGATTCAGTCCAGATAGATATTTTCTGCTGCTTTTTCCAACCTCGTTTTAAGTAGGTCACATGACGGGGCTTCAAGAAGTTCTTAATAAGTAAGGTGTGACCGACTGCAGAATAGTTTCTGTTGACCCCCACTGTTAAGACCTGCTTGAAGCCCCATCACGTGGCATTCCCCCAATATCCATCCTAAATCCTACTCCCTTAACCTGCTCCCAGTTATCTCAGTGGCAGCTTGGGATCTGCCGTTCTCACATGATTAATTCTATGTTGTGCGGCGCCTGGCAGTATCAGCGCTCTAACAGCACGCCGCTGGCATAGCCCCAGGGCAGTCTATTGTTCTGCATTCCAGACAGCTGCCCTGCCGGAGACCTTTGGGGGCTACTGATTTTGAGTGATTCAATGACTAGTCCACCCGCATGGAAGCAACGATGGTCTCTCTACCAGGAGACCACAAGGAGTAAGGCGGGGCTGGAGTTTCTCAGTCTGAGCTCATGGCACAGAGACAGGGGCCCTACTGAAAAGCAAGATTTGGCTCTCTGCAGGGGGCCCGATGTAAAAATGACATGGGGAATGAAACCTGCCCAGAGGGAAACACTGAAACTATAGGCTCCTAAGAAGGAGTGAGCTTGGCCTAAGAGATGTGGCACCTCTGGACTATGAGTTAAGACCCTATGGTTAAGAATATCCCTTTGCCGAGCCAAGTTAGGAGCCCAGGAGACCCACTGTGTACATGGAGCTCTGGGGGAGTGTGTGTAAAGAGGCTACACGGGTGTCAAGAGAGTTCACAGGGCTAAATCTGCTGGACGGTAAAGTCCCATCTCCCAAGGAAGAGCTCAGTTGAGAAATCTACGCCCAGCAGTGTTTCCTAAAGCCCCAAAGCTAGAAACAGTGACTAGACTCTACCCAGACCCAATTAAGCTTGGAAGCACATGGGACCACAGACTCACAACAGAATGGTGACTGTCCTGTGGTATTGTGGGCCAATTTGTAGCAATCCCTTCCATGCCACTGTAAATAATTACTCTCCCTCCTTGATAGTCGCACCTCTCTATTAACTGCAGATCATTCCTCCCTTTCTTTGTGTTTTCTCTCCTGCTGCTTCTCATGCTTGGGAGGAGCACCCCATAACCATCTGTAAAATGAACTCCTCATCCTTCTTCAAAGCCCTCTTCTAAACTCTACTTTTCCCACAAAAACTTGACAATCGTCAGCCTGTGGATGTGCTGAGACCTCTGCCTGCCATGCTGATCAATAAAATATGGAGATATACCTATCTCATAGAGCTGGAAGGGACCTTGAGAGGTCATCAAGTCCAGTCCTCTCACAGCAGGACTAAGTACCGTCCCTGACAGATCTCTAAATGGCCCCCTCAAGAATTGAACTCACAACCATGCGTTTAGCAGGCCAATGCTTAAACCACTGAGCTATCCCTCCTCGTGGTCCTGCTGTCTTGTTTCTTTGCTCGCTCCTGTTGGTCGTCTGTCACAAATTATTGCTGAACTGCTTCGCTCTACACCAGAAGCGGTTATGTTTCAGTGCCGCTGCGTGTGATTCGCTTGCAAAGCCTGCAGGATGCTAGAGGAGTTATCAACTACCAGATGTATTTCTGAAAGCTCGCAACACTATTATCTCGGTGATGTTTACGTAGCTTATATATCTATCTCCCCAAGTTTAGGTCAATACTCTTCCTCCCATCTGATATCACTGTCTTGAGCAGATGCCAGCTGAACTGGGATGAGGGATGGGAGCAGAGGGACAGCTGGCGAGGAGCTAAAGGGGATCAAATCATCAGGATAAAGCTTACTTGGTCTTGCATTACAACCTGGAAGGACCAGGCTCTAACAGATCAGGGAGCAACATCCATAGCGAAGAGCTACCTATTGAAAACCCAACCGCCAACCCCTTGCGTTCATTCCTCCAGGCTAAAGCTGTGTCCTCAGAAGTTGGTATGTTACAAGCGGAGGGCTCTCCAAATAGCTAAATCATAGACCATTTTGGGCTTGTAAATGCAGACCAAGAGCTGGAGGTTGTCTTCTAAGTGGATCAGGAATAAGACTGTAGATTAGAGGACCGTGGGATGTACTCTCATGAGACATTTCTACTCAAAAGGTGGACCTAGGATTTCTGTAGTAGCTGCACTTCCCAGGCAATCCAAGATAGAACATACGGATCTCTTTCTTTGAAGCGACAACGGCACTTTATGAACTGCCTTTGCATCAAGAGGACAGGACACAATGGATGGGCCAGCTGAAGACACTTCCTGAACTGGACCTGGGAGTGTAGAAGCAGAATTGAGCTCCACAGGACCCAGAGACTGTGTGACAATGGATAATCCATGAACAAGACTTTGATTGGGGGCATTTTCACGTCCACCTGCCAGTACGCATCACCTCAGCCTTCCTTGCTGTAACCCACTGGCTAAGAATGTTGTGTCCTGCCTCTAATGGCTGGCCCACGGGTGTCAGTTTCATCTAATCTTACTATCAGCTAAATGCTACTATTAGCGCTCATGCCAAAGGCCTGTGCATTTGGAGATGAAGGTCCCAAGTTCAATCCCATGGCAGAGGTGGTTATGCTTGGTAAGCCCAACCCAGCTGTTTCCTCACTAAACGCTAGGCTACTGGGAAGACACTAGCATCTGGAGTTGCTGAGGAGTCAGAGCTGGGTATCATCAGCATACGGCTGACATTTCAGTCCACAACCTCCAGATATCTCCCCCTGCCTGATCTCACAAACACATTGAAGAGGGTTGCAAGATTGGTCCTGGGGGGACAATACAGAAACAAAAGCTCTTGAGGAAGAGCTGTGGGCCACACAGATCCTTTTCTGGGAATCTCTGAAGGAAACAGTGAGCCAAGTTCCCCTACTGCGACTAGCCCACACTGTTAATTCTCACAGTCAGGTAGGGAGCAGAGTCCTGTGTGCTTATAAGAGTCTATCACTAGAACCGCAGGGGCCAAAAAAAGGAAGAAGATAATATAACAAATGAAACTCTGAAAGATAAAATGAAAAAAAGATAATTTATTAAATTAAAACCTGGCACACACATATAAATATATGCTTGGGTTTAAGACAGGATTCACCAAGTAGAACCAGAGAGGCTAGGAAGTGGAAAGAAAGTGTGATTACTTACAGGGAGTGCAAGAGAAATGCAAGCAGGTGTTGGAATACAAGCCATTCAGGTAGAACACAAAGTCAAGGCCTGGAGAGTAACCGTGGCACGTTACCCCAGAAGCTCCTATAAGACACAGCCTTACGTGATGTGAAAGCTGTTCTTTGGGAGATTCTGTATAATCTAGGGCTGGAGTATCTCCCCATTGTGGCTCTATAATAGAAACGTTTAAATTGAAAAGACCTTGTCAAGTGATTGCTTTTACTAGTTTAATTTTTGCAGTCCCTCTATTGTTCTAGCAGATGGGAAAATAATTCCCTTCTCCACGCTGTCCATTTGACGGCCACTGATTTTCTTCCAAAGCGATAAGTTTTAATCCCTTCAACTTTGTAGTGCCTTGTGGCCACATATCTTTGCTTTCATTGATTGGTAAACACGATTCCTAGTCTACATTGACAGAGCCAACAGGAGAAGGGGTGTTTGTATAGGATTTTCCCAATTAGTAGTTTCTCCTGATT